GAACCATTCTCACCTAAAAAACTGATATCAACTGGCAATGATTTTGTGCTGATGATCAATAATACAGCATAGAGGGCAATAGAGAATAAAAATGATTGCCTGTTCTGGGACAGGAATGTTATGTGGAAGGAAAATGATAGCATCATGATTGCCACTATAAAAAAAAATTAAAGGATGTTAAAAGGAAAACAATAAATGTTAGAAACAAGCCTATCTGGCCTTGAAATAAATTGATACCTGAAAAAATAAATACAGGAAAGTCAAAGAACAACTATTTCATTTTCTTTAGCCTACCTCTGTGTCTAGATCAACAGCTTTCAGTTCAAATTCAGTGATTGTTTTACGAATTCCTTCCTGGACACGCATCCCCATGTTACTTAGCAATGGAAGAGAGTCATCAACTGGTATGATGCTGATGTAGAACGTCAGTGTAACCTATGAAAAAAAAACCCAATAATAATACATGGTTAAAATTCAACATTTTATGGAGTATATATCCTGTATTCATAATTTAAAATAGGCTTTAAAAACAAGAAAAATAATAATTAATTCATATTGGATTGCCTATCAAATGCTGCCTTTGGCATCCTGTTGGCCATACAAATTAAATTAGTTAAATTATAATAATTAGATGGATTGCCATTAATTTTCTATATCTAGAAATGCAGACATGTCTACAGAGAAATAGAGAATTAGTTACTTTGAAGTTCAATTAAAATCAGAAAAAGCAGACATACAGGGTGTGTGCTATCAGATTTGATTTTGTTACTAATAACAGGGAGTATGCTATCAGATTTGATTTAGCTGCCAAGAAACAGGAGCTTATTAATTAGGTAATCTCAAACTACAGTGATATTGAGCTTAACAAGTATCTCAAAAAAGAATCACCCTACTTAAAAAAATGTTCTTTCTGAGATAAAGAATATGTATAGACACAATCTTATTCATCACAATTTCAGAAATTTAAGAAAATTGTTTTCCTAAGTGGCAAGATTAATGCTGAAACAGTTATCCCTGTATTAGTTAAATCTTGAGATAAGTTACTCTTGATATACTTTGAGGAAAACTTATTTATATATTACAGACACAAAACATAAACAATGCTATACATCATATTATATTTAAAACATTGGTTTTCCCAAAATACACTAAAAATGGTAATTTATAAAAAGCATTCTGTAAGCTTAATTTTAACATTTGAAAGTACAGTAGACCTTATTAATACTAAACACTGATATATCAATCAATGTAATATTAGAGAAAAACAATGAAATAATAGAGAAAAAGATCAATTAGGCAATGCATTATTTAATCACCTACTTTATGCTGACAATTTAATTCTAGTTAACGATACAATTTATGGATTACAACAATCTTTAAATACATTATTTGATTTTTGTGAAGCCTGGAATTTAACAGTAAATAGTGATAAAACCAAAATTATAGCTTTTAAAAGAGGTGGCAAATTAAAACAATGTGAAAAATGGTATTACAATAGAGAACCAATTGAAATTGTTAATTCATTTACGTGTCATCAAATGATCGTAATGTTATATAATTTATCGAAATATCTGTATTTCGCTTTACATCAGAAGACGTGATTTACTTTCTCCTGTTCTCTAAATGTTATTTTGTTATGTAAAGGGGCCGGAGGCCTAGGATACAAATAAATGTCCTAGACCAAAATCCAATACTTTCTGAGTTCCATCGTTTAATGTCATCAAATGATCGTAATGTTATATAATTTATCGAAATATCTGTATTTCGCTTACATAAGAAGACGTGATTTACTTTCTTCCGTTCTCTAAATGTTATTTTGTTATGTAAAGGGGCCGGAGGCCTAAGATACAAATAAATGTCCTAGACCATAGGGGTCTAGGAATGAACATAATATAGTATAGACCTGGGAATATTTAGTACCTCATTTGTTCCATCACTTAATGTGAACACAAAACTATCCATATAGAGTTCCTCGGGACTGGTGTGGACGTACAGCACACCCTGCTCCGCTAAGTTAGCTTGAGTGAATGCGATGATAGGCACACCGGGAATACTGGTGAATTCCAGCTGCCCTAATGTGGGCCCATTTGAGATGAAGTACGTCAACTGGCCAGGTGGACTGTCAGTATCGGTGGCCGATAGAACGCTGGTAGTGATAAGCTTCTGAGAGCCTTCCACTACGGTAAGACCTAAGTTGGTAATCACCTTTGGTGGCATATGATCAACTGCAAAACAAATGGAATGTGGACAAGAGTAAAAAAAAAGTTGAATAACAATTTTAGATGAATATTTCATAAAATATTAGTGAATTTTCTCAAATACTTTTTACCATCTTAAATTTTCACCAGTGAATGTGTTTCTTCATAACAAATTGACTTATTTGGTATGGAATGAATATAAAATTATTGAATCGTCATGATTTAGGAAAAACTTACGATAAACATCAATGCGAAATGATTCATCAATAAGTTCGTTGCCATCCTCATCTGCGACATTGAATTTGAAGACAACTAAGCCAGAAGGCTCTGATGCATCATGGGTATACTTGAGAAATCCTAAATAAAACACATGTTCAAAACATTTAACTACATCTTTAGTTCAAATGTATAATACCAACTGAACATACTTTCCATTAGTAAAAAGTTTCTGCATTATAAATAGCAACTGTATTTGTTGAAGTCTTACCATCATCAATATCAGCTTGTTTGAAGTTGTTCTTAACTCCAAATTTACTGATATCTTGAGTCACTCCCCTCTTAACCAATTGAAGTTTACCCATCTCAGGGTCTTTGGTGATTATGAACCGTAATTTGCGGTTATTTGAATCAATGTCCGTTGCTTGTAAGATATCTTTGGTAATAAATGCAGATGTACCTGTGAGAAAAAAAAAAACCAAACAATCAATGCAAATTCTCAATAAATGAATGCAAAATACAGCAGAGTATTACAGAGATTCTAAATTTAAAAAATTTGCAGGTGTGAGACTACTGAAAACCCCGCCCTCTAGGACTGCTCTAGGGGATATGGGAAAAATTCCACACCAACCTTTTGCCGCATCTTTGATCTTATCTGACAGTACTTTAAAACAGCATTCATAGTGTTAGTGCAGTGGTATACATGTTGTTACCATAATTTAAGTACTGTAGATTAAGAGTGTTCAGTACTAAATCAAATCAAATCATTTATTGACTCTATACAGACACCATTTACATCAGCGGCACTCAGGAGGTGCGTCAATCATAATAAATAACTTAAAAGAAAACAACTTAACTAGAAAAATACAGTACACTGAAAAGCACCTTAAAACTGTTTGAATAAGCATATAAAATTACTAACACACTAATACAAAAAAACTTTATACATACATATATATATATACACACACATATATACAAATACACATGCATACGCACACATATATACATATACACACATATATACATACATATGTGGCAAAGACAAGCCAAACCAGCAGTCACTCGTCGCAAATCCTGTTTCAGAGAAAATGGCCAAAACATGCTGGAATGTCAAATTTTTAAAAATCTATTGTATTGCACTAAACTAGCCTTTACATATCTATACATCATTCTATGCTGTTATTTTCCCCATTTTTAATGTTAAAACAAGACTTTTTAAGGATTTAATGATTGTTTCTGCATGAGAAATGCCTGAAATCATAAACTTTGAAGGCT